AAAAAATATATGTATATATATTATAGTAACCATATTAAATTTGCATATGGCTTAATTAAATGAATTTAAATTTGGAAAAAAAAATGAAAAAAAACGTTGAATTTGATGAATAAAATTTTTGTAACATTAGATCTTGTAACAATCATTAAAATTATAGCACATGTAAATATAATATTTTGATATTTATTATTATTAATATATTCTTTTCTATTGGCTATATATAAACCTCTATTAACATATAATTTAATTCAATAAATCACCCTGTAATTATAACTTCCTCACTTAATCAAATCTTTCTCTATCCATTCTTGGTCATCAGCATCAATTTGTTGTGTATGAAGAGTTAGCTTTGGGAAAAGTCAGCATAGAATATATAAACTCCTCTTTTGTTCTCCTTCTAAAGCTGTTTGATTTTCTTGATCCAATAGTTTTAAGGTGCAATCATCTTTTGTGCTAACACACGAGGATATACAAGAGCTACAAAAGAAGAAGAAAGCCACCATCTTTTATCATTCCTTATTACTTTAACTAGAGTAAGAGGAGGATCATCAATATCATGTGTGAGTGACTATTTCTAGAAAAAAGATTGAGAAGGGTCAAGGTGAAGGTTAGTGGTGGTGCGCGCGCCGGTCTCTTCGCCTCGAACGCCGGTGATAATGAATTCAAAATTAGTAGCACTAGAGCTGGATATTAGTTATAACCTTTAGGAATTTCTAGTCATTTGTCTTCTTATGATGTTTTTGATCAATAATTGATGGAATTTAGAGTATGAGTTCCATGGAACTCTAACATCTAGGTAAAAAGGAAGATCAAAATGATATAAGACCCCTTTCCTATATTTCCAATATTAACTTAAAAATTTGATCCAAATAGAATTAGGAAAATCATTTTTCACATTCAATAAAATGTGAAAAATAGTTTTTCGTATTCAATAGAATGTGAGAATGGATTTTATGCATTCTATTGAACTAAAAAAAACTGTTTCACGTATTCAACATGACGAAATTGATTTTATGCATTCGCTCCTTTTTATATTATCTCTCAAAGATACTTCTTCCACTTAATTAAATTGATAATGCTCCTTTTTATAAATTTTCATAACTTAAATTGGGCATAAGGCTATGATGCATTCATGTATGAAACTTTGAATTGTTGTGATTGAAACTAACATAGAATCACTGAGAAAACCTTTGATCGGGCCATGCACATTATGATTATCTTCATTTGTATAAGGAATCTAAATTAAGTATGGATTATTCATTGCCATGGCAAATTGGTTCCAGTATTTTTCTCAGATTCTCTTTGAACAAGTCAATCTGAGCTTGTGTTTCCCATATGACAGAATTCTGTTGCATGGAACATCATTTGCATATTACTTTTAGTCGATTCAAATATCTGATGTTTGGTATAAAGGATTCACTGGACATTAAAATGTTATCTTTTCCTGTCACTATTTTTAACGGGAGTATTCAGAATACTTATTGTTTGTTGAAATAACTATGTTTAACTAAGCCTCTTAGAAAGAAACTTCTTTCGTTGGGTTTTATATTTTGGCCAACTTTGATGTTAATCAATGAAAGAATTTTATGTGGCATTTCAACGTTACTAATGATCCTTTTAACCTTGACATTTTATTGTTAATTAATAAATCCAGAACTTGAAATGGCTTATGTTTTAATTGACTTCATGGTTAGGTTCGTGTTGAAAACTTGGAAGATGCTTCAGAGCATATTGGGGAAGTTCTCCGGCGTGTTAAGAAGGAACATCTGCAGCGAGCATATAAGATAGAAAACTGGTAGGATATTTTTGTTTATTGCTTGATTAAATATTTGTTTAGAACTTTTGAGGTTGAGCTTCTATGTCAAAATACCAGTAGATCGTGATTAGTTTCGATTTGATTTGGTGTGTCATAGCAGCGGAGACAATATGACATGATCAAGAACCTCAAGATCAGACAGGTGGCTCTTGTGAAGTTACAGGTCAGAGTATGCACGGGTGCCTGAGGATTTCAGGTGAACTAAAGGATGCTCGGTGCTGATGCATGGGACAGAAGCTCATAAGAGCAGGCAATACACAAGGCACATGCATGCATGTCACTGGAGGAACAACGACAGATATAGGTGTACATGGTTCAGAATGTACGGGAACATGAGTTGGAGCCGCAAATCAAAATGCACAATGGAGGCCGAGAGCGAGCAGGGGCTCGGTTTCGGAGGTTTTCTCATGTCGTTAGCGTAGGGAGTAGGTCAGATTATTGCAAGCACAAGGTTCTTGTAAACATGAGGTTTTTTAATCGTAAAATCAGACAAATGTGAAGATTATTATATATTGGTCTGATTTTATATTAGTTGATTCACAAGCTGGCACTTTACTTGTAAATGACTATAAATCAAGCATAGGTTGATATGGGTTAAAATGCTATAATAATCCCATTGAATAAGGAATAAAGGATTCTTGTATTCATATATATATATATATATATATATATATATTCTTCTTCTTCCTTCCCTCTCACTTTCGTCCAAGAATTCCTCAAAGAAATCTTAATAAGTGATATCAGAACCTCGTTGAGGTGATCTTGAGGCGGAGGAAGGTTCTTGTCCAAGAAATTAATATATATATTTCTTGACATCAAACTGTATGTGCGTCTGCGATTAATCCTGTAATAAGCACAAACACGTACATGCATCTGCTCTTGCATGCTCCGCGTTGCAGCTCACGCCTCGTGTGCTTGAATTACATGCGACCATCGCTCACGGCTGTGAGCCTTTGCCTCAGCCCGACCGTAGACCTCTCATCTCCCTTTTTGATTGCAAGAACCTTCCTTCACCTCGAGATAGCCTCAATGAGCCTCTGATACAACTTGTTAAGATTTCTTGGAGGAATTCTTGGACGAAAGTGAGAGGGAAGGGAGGAGAGGGAGAGAGGAGCTACATGAATTCTTATTCTTTTATTCAATTTGGCTTATTATATGGGGCATACCTTTATGGCACTCCAAACCTCTCTATTTATAACACTATGAGAATACAATGGACACTAGGAACAATTATCCTAAAACTGGACCAACACCTAACACTTATAATCATTGGAATGACCGATTATAAATCATGAAGGGGCTTACTATTTGATACGTCATCAAAAAATTATCTTGATTGGGCACGAATCTCGAGGCCGCGAATACTCCTGGACGCAACACTATTCAATTGTAAGTTGCCCAAAAACGGTTAGGTCTTATGACCTTGTAATATATGCAAAGTGGCCCATTATATTGAAAATTTATGAGGCTTACATCTATTCGAATGTCCTATTCTAATTGGAAGGAGACTTACATCTATTAGAATTCCCAAAATTTCCCATACTTTGCATGTTAATTATATATATATATATATATATATTATTGCGAGCTAGAATATATGCGGCAGTAGAGTGAGGGAATTTCTCATCTTAGTATTGTACGATTATTCAACACACAAACAAAGAAGATATAACACCATGATTTTTATGCGAAAAATCCTGAAAAAGAGAAAAAACCATGAGCCAGACTGAGTTGAAATGATTACACTAAATTTGAATGAACCACAAAACTTGACTCACCCTTTAATTTTGGAGACGGAGAAATTATAATAGTTTAGGAAGTTGGGCAGAAGTCAGACAATAGTTGGTAATTAGATAGAAGTCAGTTGATGGATGGTGGTTGGGTGAAAGCCCTATGATGATCGATGGCCTGGAAGAATTCCTGCGATGGCTGTTGACCGGACAGAGGTCCGACAATGTTCGGTGGCAGGGCAGAAGTCCGACAACGATTTGTGGCAGGGCAGAGGTCCGATAATAGTCTGTGGCCAGACCGATGTCCTGCGAATGTCGGTGGCCAGAAAGAAGTGCGGCGATAGTTGGTGGTCGGGTAGAGGCTCGGTGACAGTCGGTGGCTGGACGGTGGTTGAGGAGGATTTTGGTGGCAAGCGAGATCTCAGATTTTTTTTCCCTCCCCCCTAATTGTAAAGAATGGGGAGGGAAAAAAAAAGGGGGGGGGGGGGGGGGGGGGGGTCTATTTCTAATTTTTTGGGAGTTGCATGGCTAGTAAATATGAAGAAAATTAATAGTATGTTGGGAGTGTTTTCGATGGATGACCAAAATTGATTCCTTTGGTTATAGACTGTTTATCGAGTATTTAAGTTCATTAATAATGTCAAAATTCAATGATCTTGGACTCGTTGGATTTGTCTTGTCAAGCTGCTCGATTCGACAATAAACATTCAATATTTGGATATCATTTGATAATCCAATTTATTCTTTGAAGCTTTCAAATATGCTTCAGGCCTTCGATTTGGACCCATTTGGGTTCGGATTGGATTTATTTTGGTGTCGTTGAGTTCGTTGCTTCGAGACAGTCAATTCGACTATAAGTTTTCCGAAATCGGAGTTTGAATTGTTTCAGATCTAATATCGGAAGTTTCCAATTAGAATTTGCCTTGAGATTCATGCCCGATAAAGAATATATATATTTTAGCTGTAATTACTTCAAGTTATTTGAGAAATATCAAATAGGTTGGACCTTCCTGGCCTGAATTTATGAACATTTTAATACAAATATTTTTGTGTTGAATTTAGTAGGGTTTTTAAATATGGATTTTACAACCTTGCTTCGTGAGCAAAGCAGCTTGACAACGAGCTATTATTTTGTGCGGACACCGGACGGGAGAACCGTTCGGTTAAGCGCTGGGTACCCAGCGGTACCGAGCACGGGTACCTAGCAATAGGGTGACGTGGCGCATTTTTATTGGTCTCTGGACGCTCTCCGGACTCCGCACAGAATAATAAATCCTCACTGGCACCCAGCAAGTGGCATTTCTGCATAATATTGACACATTAATTTTGTATGATATTTTTTTCTTTTCTTTTTAGTTTCATGTTCTCTTAAGAGTTTTAGGAAAAGCAAATAATATCTCCTACAAGTTCATGCATCCTCTTGCCTAAATAATATTGCAGCTTTTATGGCATGGTCTACATGATGATATGTTGCACCCACAATGGTTTAATCAATCTAATATCTATCAGAATGTTCAAAAGTGGCAAAGCAAAAAAACATTTAGCAGATCTTCTATAAGAAGACACAGAAGCTATTTCGCATCCTCCACTTTCATAATTTACATTCACATTACAAAGTAGCTCTTTCTTGTAGCAGTACAGATCCTATCAGCAAAGTGCCAGTTCAGTTGTACTCGAGATCACGCAAAGCTTACAGAAAAAGCTTCATTGTTTCTTGCTGAAATTTCCAGGGCTTTCTCTAGCTTTTTAATAACTTCCCCCATTGATGGCCGCTGTAGCCTGTGGGCAGTACAAGAGATGGCGACTTTGAGAACCAGGTTGAAAGCCTCCATTGAGAATTCTCCATTCATTCTTAGATCTACAAATTCTGCAGTGTTTCCTCCGTTCATAACAGTCTTAGCCTGAAGATGATAGTAATATGTTAGCAGAAATATGTCATTTTGTTATGACATAAAAACCAAAGCACTTGATCTCTTCAGCTCACCATTTGGTGCAATGAAGCTGGCATTGTTATGTCCAGACCAATCACTCTTTTCCCTGAGATAATCTGGAGCAGAACCATCCCGAAGCTGTAAACGTCTCCTGCTGCATTTACATGGTGGTTTTGTCTGTATTCAGGGTCGACATAGCCAAAGGTTCCTCTTACTTCAGAGCTGACATGAGAGACCCCAACGTCTATGAATTTGGATAAGCCAAAGTCAGAAAGTTTGGCTTCGAAGTTGTCATCTAGGAGAATGTTGGTTGGCTGCAATGGCCCTATGTGGTTAGGATTAGTATAAAATTTGATCACTTAGAATCAGGATGATTGCTATCAAAGGAAAAGTTTACCGAAGTTTACTAAAGGAACCAATCTCATGGTTATATTCTTCAGGTATGATTAGTAAAAAAACAAATGTAACTAGAAATCTAGCACTTCTTAGTTCTTATAATACTATCAAATTTAAGATGTAGATAAACAGAAGTGGAAAAAGTATTGATTAAATCATTTCAAAACACTTAAGTAATAATTTTTTTCTAAATATCCAGAAAGCTCATACGCAATACGAAGAATGCAACTTTCAGAGTACGCATATTCAACAAGAAGTCAGCATGTACCACACAATTGCTACTGAGGTCATCTCCAACCGAACTGCATACCACCGTATGTTGTCATCCATTCGCTGCATTCAAACTCCAAATCTCACACCAAAATTTGGTAGGTGAACAGTACGACGTCAATAAACCCTAAAATATTGGGGTCGCACTATTCACCTACACAAAAAAATTGGTTTCCTGAATTTGTCGAAGACGAGGCGAAAGAGGAGAAAAGCGCGTGAAAGATGAGAGAGATTGCTACCTTCGCAGAAAGCGCTTGAAAGAAGAAAAAAATACAGTTTGATTGGAGATGAATTACAACATTTTGAAGTTTTACAGCATTTTAGAGTGGAAAATGGGTTTTTCGGTTGGAGATGCCCTAACCTTGATATCACGGTGAACTATGCACCCTCCTTCAAATGTGTGGAGGAAATGAAGGCCACGAGCACTGCCAATAGCTATCTTAAGTCTCTGATGCCATGAAAGAACTTTTTCCCTTCCTATTATATGATATAAACAGCATCAGTAAATGCAAGAAAATGCAAGAAACAATCTTAAGCAGAGTCTTGCATAAAACCAGTTGAAGTACCAAAAAGCCATTCAGAAAGACTGCCATTCCCACACAGCTCGTAAACGAGGAAGCACTCAAATTCTTTTTCACAGTATCCTCGCAAAATCACAAGGTTAGGGTGCCTAACATGCGAAAGGCTAGTAACTTCTCTTAGAAAGGTCTCAGCTTGCCCATCCTTAACGATATGCTTAATTGCAACATGCCATCCATTGGAAAGGACACCTTTATACACCTTTCCTTAATTCAAAACGAAAAAAAGGAGTATAAGATGGAAGAGAATTTCTTAATAAAGCTTAAAAGATAAATGCAAAGAGCTAGTTGATAATCTGACTGCGTTTACAACTAAGGCTTCATTTGGGAAGACTATCTTATTACTTTCTGAAGCAGTTTTTTAGTATAACACTTAAGATTTTTGTGTACTAAAAAGCTGCTTTAGAAAGCGGAAAGAAAATCATCCCAAATGAAGCCTAAACAAACTAAAGGTCTTATGGCAAAGGTGACCAACTACTTCAGGATGCCATTCCAACATAATTAATTCTTAAAGCTGGAGAAAATTTTTGATTTCACTGATAGATTGTGTTAATGTGCATTAAGTGGCATCTTTATTCTGTTAAAGGTGAAGAAAAATGATTGTTCTAAATGAAATATGAATCTTGACTATATCTAAATTATCAATTGTGCCAACTTGTTTGCAATATAAATTTTTTACTATTTATTAACGTAATATTTCTTCTTTATTATACCAAGAACTTACCAGCGACGCCTTGACCAATAAAGTTATGGATATGTAGATTGTTGGTTGCAGCATAAATCTCTTTGATAGGAATTTCCTTACAGTCATTCTCTTGAAGCATCAGCGCTTCAGAAACTACAGATTTTTTTTTCTTAAGAGTAAGCTTCATAGAGTGTCAAACAGAATAATTCTCCAAAAGATAGCATATAATGAAAATTTCTACAGCGAATTACCAGAAATTGAATGAATTGCATGAATCTCCTTTGCAGGAACTTTCCTAGATTTCCTTTTCAGTAAATACAATGATGCAACAGCTATTATAGTTACGGCAATTGCAATGATCCCAATAAGCACAAAATTCCCTGTTAGCAGGAATGTCAAATTGTTATGAAAAACAAACTAAATTTAAGATCAAAACAAAGGCCATAAATGTTAATAATGTACCTATCATCTTGCACTTTGAATACTGTCACTGCAAATAAATAGATGAAAAAAATCATCAAAGCCATTGAAGACCGAGAAATACTGTCAAAATAAGAGCCGTTACCTTTCTTGTGCAAATTTCTGCCAGAAAGCGACTGATTTTAGTCTCACATCTATGTTTTCTCCTTGAAATATGAGATGCTCATATGGAAAATTTGTTAGGGAAGTATCGTAAGGTTTTGGTATAGTGATGGAAGAAGGGAAGGATTGCCGGCCAAATGAAAAAAAAAAAAAGGGAGAGAGTTGCCAATTCAAAGGAGAGAGGAGTTAAGTGTATTAGTTCTTGCAGTGCTCTGTTTTAGTTGAAGCATTTGGCTGCATTAGAGAGAGAAGGGAGAAGAAGTAATCTTGGAATATGCCAAGACTGAAACTAGTAAAAGTTATAAAATTCAAATGTCTTCGTCGCACTTCAGAAATATGTAGCTGATAGCAAGATGGACAAACAAACCGGATTCAAATTTATTAAGCTGAGTTTTATAATTATTAAATTTATTTTAAAATAAGTATAATATAAAAAGGAGTTGATTAATTATGCATTATAAATGTTAATACTGTCAAGAGGTTGATTCTCCTTGTTTAACACACTAAATTCCTTATAAAATGTGTTGATTGTCCTAGCCAAACGGCTGGATTTGTAGGCCAGCAAGGCACTTTTTTGCTATTCTTCTTAGAAGTTATGAATTAGTGTCAGTGATGGAAGAATTCATATTATTTTGTTGTCATTAGAATCATTTGAGTTGTGTTATAACCATGGTGTTAAAAATCGGACTAGACTGACTAGATCGACATGTTCAACTGTGAACTGGTCATATGGCCGGTTTGATTCACCATAAAAATCGGCTCAACATCAAATCGATGTGAACTGATTCGAAGTTTCGAAATGTCGGTTCAATTGGCCAACCGTTGAATTGGTCCAAATTTTTAGGAATCATTTGGTTCAATTGATATCCTATTTAAATGATTAAATAAATAAAATTATTATAAAATATGTAATTAAATATTAATTAATAAATTAATTAATGGAATCCAGACGTAGCTATGCATCTGTACTCCAATGAAATCATTACACTTGGATTGTACGCGTGAATTTTTATTATATATTTATTTTTTTTTTCTTGTACACATTGTGTACAAGGGAAATTATACACAACGTGCATTTAAGCATTTTACAGGCAATAAACAGTGTGTATAAGGTACACATAACATTCCAATAAAATTCCCTTTGTAAAAATTCAATCTACAAATTAGGAAAAAAATTTCATTGGAGGAAAAACACATAATTAACATGTCTATACACCCTAAACATTATACATTTTTAGAAAACACAGTAAAACTTCAGAGTAGTTTGAAATTTACCGATAAGTTAAAACCTACAATACATCTAACTAACTTAATTAACTTCTGTTTCATATCGTAAACTCTCCACAGTTTGATGTAGTTTTGTTATCTTCAAGTTTTCCTGGACGTTCGCATAGATGTGAAACTGCAATGTCCTGTGAGCATGTCATCTCATCAAAGAATGCAATGTCATCTCCTAAACTAGTCTCCATCTTCATCAGTTGTTTCTCGTTTTTTCTTCTCTGCATGTATCAAAAGCTTTATTCCGCTAAAATGCTAAATATTGAGGAGCTTTCGAGGGTTTTCTTTTTTTAAAACGGAGTGTCAACCCTAAACCCTAATTTTGAGCAGGTTGGTGAAAGCCTTTTTCAAAAAGTCAAAACTATCACCTCTGCACAAGGTCAGGTCATCGGGCTGTCAAGGAAAAAAAAAGAAAATAAAAATATTATAAAAATCCACATATCATGATTTTATTGGAGTCTGACCCAGAACTACTTTCGGACTCCACACGTAATAATTTCTCTAGTAAATATTCTTGCAGGAGAAAAGCTTATCTTTCAACCTCACATTTTGTTTTAGCCAAAATCTCTTTTAATAAATTTAAATATTTCCTAAGATTGACTTAAAAGTAGATTAAGAATATTCTAACATAAAAATGCTCCATCTAATTATTTTTATTAATTATTTAATTATTATTCCAAATTAACCTTATATATATACCTAAACAATTTTGGCAAGTTTTTAACATATATTTAGGTTCATTCTTTTAATTAAAATCAATACTCATATGTTTCCCTTAAAACACTATTTTTTAAAATTAAATTCTTAAGGCCCCCATGGTTATCTTTGTTATTTAACATTTATTTTTAATTTCATTTTATTTTGTATATATTTCACTACAGGAAAATCATTTAATATCGGCGAAAAAATTGCTGATAAAAACCTTCGGTTTTATCGCGGGAAATTCCAGCAAAAAAAATTATGTTGGTTGTTGCTCCTCCTGTCGCTTTTTCGTTGGATTATCTGCCACTGATAAATATTTATTTTTGCTAAAAAAAACTGATAGAAAATGTCGGCCCTATTTTGCCCTAACACAACTCTCTTCATCATTTTCACAGTTTTCCGCCCAAAGACGAAGTCGACAGCTGCTCTGCCCCCATTTGCTGATCCAAGTGATTTCTTGCTCATTTCTCTCCATTTCTTCAAGACTTAAAAGTAAAACTCGTTCTCTTTACTCTTTTGATTTTAATGCAATTTGAACTATTTGAATACGTGTTATTCCGACTTTAGAGTATTTTTTAAACTCAATGTTGTAACTTCGTAGATCTTGTTGTATAGTAAATATTTATAGAGCTTTTTGTTCATTTATTTTGGTGCACAAACTAATTTATTAGGGTTTAGGGTTATGTGATGAATTTTTGGAGTAGACATTAAAGGGTAATTATACTTAGGGGTGCCAATATTTGACACGACCCGAAAATCCGACTCGAATCCGACCCGAAAATTTCGGGTTAGGGTCAACCCGAACTCGAAACGGGTCGGGTTCGGGTTTAACATTTCGACCCGTTTCAAAAATCGGGTCGGGTTCGGATTAACCCTTTGACCCGAAAACCCAATTTTGACCCGAAAACTAGCAATTTTTTGCTGGAAACGGGTCATTCGGGTCGTGTTGGGTTGACCCGAACTCGAAGAGGGTTGGATTCGGGTCAGGAAAACTGACTCGTTTTCAAAAACGGGTTGGGTTCGGGTTGACCCGATAGTACCAGGTCAATTTCGGGTTCGACCCGAACCCGACCCGTGACCCGAAATTGACACCCCTAATTATACATGAGTTTGGGTGATGTATGGAAGAATTTGAGTGATGTTAGAATGAAAATACTTATGATTATATGTGTTTTTAAATGTTTAGAGTTTACTAACTTGTCATTGAGACGTTTTGGATTTCCGGGTTTAGGTTTTTTGTGATTCGTTAGTTATAAAATGAACAATTTATAAGATTAATGAAAGTGATTATGTAGACTTGGATACCTAAGCATTGTATACCCTTGGAGTTGCACATCAAAATAACTGATTTTTGTAAATTTGTTCTATTTTAGGATTATTAATTCAACATCCATATGAATATCCAAGAGGAGAGGTATTTGATGTACAACAAATTACTACCAGGGCAAACGCATTGACATTTGAATTTATTGATGGAGTTGATTCTTTCATTCATGTCGTATGTCAACTACCATAGTTTAAGTTGGATGAAATGTTTAGATATTCATGCTAGAAGCACAAAAATTAAGCTTTTTTAAAAATCCGAGGATGTTATGGTTGATTTATATTTTAGTGGATTTGTTTAAGGATATTGATTTTGGATCTCACTTAGAGAGTACGAGACATATAGAGATACTCATGCAAGTTAATCCAGAACTTCTAAAACAATGGACGAAGATCAAATTAATAGAACATATGAAAACTTTTTTTTGATGTAGCATGTCCGAATTTAAGAGAACATATGGAAGAGCCACCTAACACAGAAATAAAGAAATTTTTTGAAGTTGTTAGCAATGTTAACTATTATATATACATATTATATGATTTAAATGATTTTATTATATTTTGATTAGCAATGTTGGTGAAGATGAAATATCAATTTCTGTTTACTTGTATAAATTACTGCAAGTTTTTTTTTTTGTAAATGTTTTAGTGGAATAATAAGAAGTTGTCTTTTTTTTTTTTTTCGCATTACTACAGATTTCTGGCAACTTTCCAGCATAATTTTTGTCAGAAACTTTCATTATCGCGAGAGGCAGTGATGCGACGGAAAAGGGCAAAAAACTGTCGACAATTTTTGGCATTTCCAGCGGAACACCACGTGGAAATTACCGTCTGGTAGTTCCGATGGTGCAATGTCACAGAAAATTTTCGGAGGCAATTAGCGCCAATTGGTTGCTCCATCCGCCGCTATCAACAGCTGGAAATTTCAGAAATATTTTTAGCGGAAAAAAACCCTTCGCATGATGTTTTCTACACGGGTTTCACCGAAAACTTGCAAATAAATTGGAAAAATTAATAGTGATTTTTGTTGGAAAAATCCGTCGGTAATGTATGATTTTCCTGTAATGTTTTAACATAAAATAAAATACTATGTAATATATTAAAAATAATATCTTATTCAACAATAATGGGGGCCCATGGAAGATTACGATGGTTGTGATTGTTGGTGGTTTAGGCGGTTGCCGTTTGCTAGCGTGCAAAATTTTATTTTATCTTTTTTTTTTTTCAAATTTTTGCACACTTTGACAAACTGAGTTGAGATCAGATTCCACACATACTAACACTTTTTTTTTCACACATACTAACACTAACACATGCTTCATTATTGCTTTGAAAGAGATCAATTGGAACTACCTTATTAATTCTAATATATACTTAGCATAGATAATTACTTTATTTTTAAAATATATGATGATATGATCTCTTATTAAATAAAAAAAAATATTGATGGAGAAAAAATTAATTATTGTCACTTACTTATATAGTAAACATTTAAATTATTATAAAAACTCATCTCTGCTTAAGTTATTTTTTTATTTATTTTTGAATAATTAAATGATTCAAATCATTAAAATATATTGTATTTATTTTAGTCTATAGTTTTAAGATATATGAATTCAAAATACTGATACAGCCCCTAAGCTATTTCTTTCCATATGTAACTAATTTATGTCTTAAAAATCAACGTTCCAAAGGGGAAAAAAAACCTGCATAGTGTTTTTTGCTGGTGAAGCACAGTCAAATAATTTTATTTTCTCCACTGATCAATCAGTTGCGAAGAAAGAGTAATCAGGTCTGGACTTAGCTGTATGCAGTTGACAGTATATTCTTTTTTTTTTTTTTTTTTGAATAGGGTATCCACCTGCTGTCACCCCCGAAAGGGTGCTTGACGGTGTGACTAATCCTAAGCTGACCTAGAAGAGGCACCCATCCCAAAAACACTGACCATCACTTGATCGAGCTCCACTTAAGAGGAGCTGTTGCTCGAGGAGATTTGAGTACGGGTTGTAGGATTCGGATTATTGGGTTCCCAATCGTACTCAGCAGACTAACCAAACTAAGCAATATATTCTATATAGAGCAAATCAACTGCCGACCCCTAAAATTGTTACACCGATGGAAGAAGATGAATAGTGAGAGTGCAGACTACCCACGGAGGTTTAGGGTAGTTGCTGGGCGAGCACAGTTGGGAACCTCCCATTCCGGATTCGAATCCCCTCTACTACTTCCTCGACTTTTCAGTTGGGCAACACAAATGTGAGCCCGATGCCAGTGAATGGCCTCGTTAGATTCCGCGGAGGGATTAGTTACGCCGCTTACAGCGGATATATACCCGTTCTAAAAAAAAAAAAAAAGTGCAGACTACCTGCAATCAATTTCCGCAAACCAAAGTTCTTTTTTTTTTTAGAATGGAAATAGAAATTTTTGCAGAACTCATTGAACTATATACAGTTGTTTCATTACACAGCAAAGTAAGAACAGCCCAAGGGTATCACTCCATTCATCTATAATAAAGCAGCAGAACCGTGAAGAGGTGGTGGAGCTCCAGACTCAACCACTGCAATTTCCTGCAACTCCAACTCATCCCTCCGCCGATCGCCAGCGACCGAACCACATACCCTTTCCCTCACTCTACTCCTGCAAATTGGACAAATTGCAGTCTTCATCAGCCAAGAATCCACACAGTCTGCATGAAAGCTGTGCCTGCAAACAGGCAATAGCCTGCACCTTTGACCCACCTGAAAACCTTCTAAACAAACCGCACACTCTGCTTCACTTCCCCTTCCCTTCACCCCAGCCTTGTAGTCATAGCAAGGGAGCTTCTTGAGCTCTTCGGCCGACACCCCTTTGATCAAGTTTCTGTGGTCTTCAGCTTCTGCAAGGTTGCTGAACCTCCCAATTGTCTGCCAAACCACACACAGATGAATCATAACCACCACGACGATGCCGGCAAGGAGCAGAGCCACCGCAAAGATTATCAACATTATTGCTATGTGCGGATACTCCTAGCAATCTTTCACTCATCGCACATATCTTCTATTTGGAGTCTTGAAGACTTTCTTCATCACTATTATAATGATCAAATCATATTCAGTCAAAAAGCTCAGACTTTTGGTCCTGGCTGATCTCAAATAAGTTTCAACAAAATATAAGAATTGGAATCTCCTGCAAATAGATGAGGCTAAGTGTTGTGGAAGAATGTGAAGAGTTGGTCTGTGGTGGGAAGTAAGTAGGGGAGAAATAAGAGGTAGGAAATATTTGGAGGATAAATGACATAGAAAGTTAGGCCGGCTTACCTTATCTTCCATGTTGATTTTTCAGAAATATGACAATAAAAAGAGGCTTAGAAATATAGAAATTTGTCAGCATCAGCTAAGCTGGTGGTTAAGTTGTTAAATCTGGATAGCAACAATTGAAGATCAGAATTCATCTTTCTTGGCTTATTTGTTGGCCATTTCAGCACTCTATTGTTTGAAGGATTTAGAAAATGCCGCTATAGAGTTAACATTTCTTTATCATAATAAAAAAGTTAAATATGTTGGAGAAAAGAGAAAAAAATAAACAATTAATCAGAGACTTCAATATGGTCAGCTCTCCCTCTACAGTCTCCACTAAGAACTCCATGAAAAGCTTATAACTGTGAGGCGCACTGAAAATGTCAACTCCAATCCCCTTTATGTCCACGCATCTTCATTCACACCTCATTCTCCTCCTATTTCATCTCCAAGAATAAGGACTTTTTATATGATCACAAATTTCCTCTTGCTTTATATTAAATGTATGGGACCCTTTTCCAATTTTCACCAAAAAAAAAAAAAAATTGAAAAGAAATATTTGTAATAACTTTAAGTTAATTTCCCTAAATTCAAATATAAATGCACATAATCGAACTACATTCACCGGTTTGTAGCAGAGCAAAAAGTTCGAATGTTCTAAACCCTAAACACAACTATATTACGATAAACCACAAATAGAATATATAGCTTTGCCATTTCTTCATATCCATCGATATAGTGCCACTATGGAGATAAATCTGACCTTACAAATCAGCTTACTAGAAGAAGAGAGCGATCCTTATTCGACAATGAAATGCTTGGGACGTTTGGTATGCCTTGATTTTAAAATTATCACATCTTGAAACACAAAAGGCATGTCTGAACCGAGTTGAGTCATTAGGCTGCACTAGTCTAAGTGCCAGCATTTAATATAAATATTAAAAATTCACATGTCAACATGTAATTTGAGTCCGGACGTAGAGCTACTTCTGGACTTCGCACATAACAATTTCTCCTAAATCTGACTACAAGCAGCTCAATGATTGAAAAAGAAGACGAATGTGCAGTAATAATTAATAGTAACAAAGTTATTGTGTTCACTTAGGTTTCATTTGCAACAACATTTTTAGTGCTTTCTAATGCAGTTTTTTAGTACTAAAATTTTTAGTTCAAGATATTTTTGTACTAAAAATCTACATCAAAAAGTAAGAAGAAACTATCCCAAATGAAGTCTTAATTTTTAGATAGAAAATTTGTTGGAAATACTTATTATTTCTTTAGTAATGTTATTTCTTTTTAAATTGAATTGAATTTCAAATAATATGGAATAATTATCTTGCACGCCACAATATATATTTTATTTATAATAAGTTAACTAGCAAGGATGGTCAAATCAAAAACAAATAATTTAATAAAGGAAGAGGTGAATAAGTTAGTATTAGGAATAGGGTGGTCTTTATCTATCAGTGTTATAGACCCCATGACTTAAGAATTAAAAACTTGTAATCAAATAGGCTAATTAATCACATGATGAAGAATTATATATGGATGAATCATGAAAAATTAAAATGGAAATAAATTATGGATGAACTTTCATTATTATTATTATTATTATTATAAGATAACAATTTTTGTATCTCTAAAACTCTTAAAACAGGTGCTTAAAGTGAAAGAGACATGGATGAAATAGTCATAACAAAATTATGATGACTTTATATAGGTCTTTAAGATAAGACAAAGGTGTAATGAACAAAGCCAAATTGATTTGATTTTTAGTGAAGAAAGTCTTATTGGCTAGAGGAAGACTAACTTGGCATTAATAATGAAGGCAAACATGCTCATTATTGCTTCTCAAAGTAATGAAGGCAAACATGCTCATTATTGATTCTTAAATCAATATTTTTGTATCAAAATTTTAATTTTTTAACTAAAAAATTATTTTAAGTAGTAAGAAAGTCGTCCCAAATAAAGCCTTAGGCTTCGTCTGGGACGGCTTTCTTACTACTTCATAAAGCGGCTTTCTAGTTCAAGAATTTTATTTTTTGTACTAAAAAGCCGCTTTAATAAGCAGAAAGAAAGCCGTCCCAAACGAGGCATTAGGCTTCACTTGGGACAGTTTTTTTATTGCTTCTTAAAGTAGCTTTTTTAGAATTTTACTAGAAAGCAGTTTTGAGAAGCAGCAAAAAAGCTGTCCCAAAAAAAAAAACCTTGGTCAACCCAATTCAAAGTTCATTAGACTATGTTCGAAACACCTCTTAATTAAACGATCCAAAATTTAGGTCACAAGTTGAAAGAATAAAAAAGGACAAGGGAAATTCATTATGTTACGAAGTTCAGATCAGGCTGCTTTGCAAGAGAGGGAAGAATATTTTAATTATGGGCCGTAACTTTAAGTAAACTCAGCATGGTCATATCCGCCGTTAATTTAAATGGGCTTATATATCAAAGTTTTAGAACGGAGTGTGGGCCTTTCATTAAGGGCCTGGATGAGCAAAACCTGTAACTGTTTGAAGTTCCGTTGCCATGAATTAGTTTGTTTAAAAGGTGTCAATGGTTTTTATGGAACTTTCTAAACTGATTTTTATTATATTATTTACTCCATTGCTTAGTTATGAAGCATAATTTTTGTCTCACGAAAGTAATCCATATGTAATGCAGACTTAGGCTTCATTTGGGATGGTTTTTTTACTGTTTCTTGAAGCAGTTTTTCAATACAAAAGTTTAAATTTTTGTACTAGAAAACAACTTTAAGAAGCAGTAAAAAGGCTGTCCCAAAAGAAGCCTTAGATTTCATTTGGGATGGCTTTCATACTTTTTCTTAAAGTAGCTTTCTAGTACAAAAATTAATTTTTTTGTACTTAAAAGCTACTTTAAGAAACATTATGAAAGCCGTCCCAAATGAAGCCCACGGATTTTTTACTATTTCTTAAAATAACTTTTTAGTATAAAAATTAAAAATTTTATATTAAAAAATTATTTTAAGCAGTAAGAAAGTCATCCCAAACGAAGCCTTAGACATAATTTGTGATAGTTTTCTTATTATTTTTTAAAGCAACTTTTTTAGAACAATTTTTTTTTTGATGCAGAGTATTTTGTACTAAAAATTGTTTTAAAAAACATTAAAAAAGTTGTTCCAAATAAATCCTTAATAATAATGTCTAATAGTTTATATTATTTCATTAAGGGCATTTAGAAAATTTTATTTTTAATTACATATTATTATTATTATCATTATTTTTAAATGAGTTTTCTTATTATAAACAGAATTCTTTTCTTATTGGAGACCACAGGTTTACATGAAAATAATATATTTGTTATATTAAGTGAGGTATATAAAAAATCATATCAACCTATCTCCTCTGTAGAGGAGAACTGAATTGAATGAAATTCTTGCGAGCAAATGGGGCACAAATCCTTAGATTTTGTAAAGGTTTTTTTTTTTTTTTTTTAGATTTTGTAAAGGTTATTAATTGATAGGGCCAAGAGATCCACATTAGCATTGTTAAGCTTATTGCTTCTCGAAACAGCTTTCTAGCATAAAAATTTCAAGAATCAATAAGGAAGCCGTCCTTGGCTTTGTTTGGGATGACTTTCTTATTACTTCTTAAAGCAGCTTTCTAGTATGAAAAGTAAAATTTTATACTAGAAACTTACTTATAAAAATAATACGAAAATTGTCCCAAACGAACCCTAAATTTTCAATCAATAAAATAAGATATGTTGCATAAGATTTTTGTATTTAGATCTATGATATTTGAATTCAGTGATGGAACCAGGATTTTTTTTTATGGGCACAAATTATTTATTTTAAAAATACTCTTAATCTTTTTAATCAAGACTTAGCAGCAATATTGATGATTTTAAATTTTCTTATAAGAGTTGTTATTATAAAATTTTAACTTATAATATTATAAATTAAAAAAAAAATGTAATGGTCTGAACCATTTGATTTTATCTTTTAGAAATATGAATTTTATTTATATAAGAATACATTAAAATAATAATATTGTGATCTGAATATGAATATCCTAACCTGAATAAAAATTGCAACCCTTCTCTCGATAGCGTACAGGACACTAATTTATTAATTTCACTTTCAGAAATTTTTCATTAAAGAGATTTTGATTATCATAATGACAGAGTCATGGGAAGAGAGAGAGAGAGAGAGGAGACTCACTCAAAGGTGAAATTATTACGTGCGGTCACCAGATGGCCTCCGGAGGTCAATCATGACGCGCCAAGTCTCCAATACAACCACTGTGTATCGGATGACATGATGCGTCTTGATTGGCCTTCGGACGGACTGATGACCGCACATAATAATTTCTCCACTAAACGAGAATGCAAATCGTAAAATTAAAAGTTGCTGCATTTTATTAGGTTAAATTTATTTTTATAAGATTTTAAATATGGATTTTAAACTTTAAAAAAAAAAAATTAAGATGGTCGGCCAGTGCATGCCCGCCCCCGGGCTGCACTATAGCTCTTTCATCCTCTTATACAGTCTATCATTGAAAGTAAGAGAACTTGTGGTAAGAGGGAGGTGATTAGAAAAAATTGGCATATTAAAATTTCTATTAATTTAATTGCTTTACTAATCACATACAGTAGTCATACATCATATTCTATCATCAACATTAAATAATAATAATTAGAAATGGGCGGGCAGCGCAGGCGCGCTGCTGGGCAGTGGGCAGGCAGCTGGCGCGGGCAGTGGGCAGAGGCGGGAAATTTGATTTTTTTTTAAGTTAAATGGGTTGGCGGGTTCACCCGGAACCCGCCGGGTCAACCCGAACCCCTGTTTTTTAAACGGGTCGATTTCTGGAACCCGAACCCGACCCGTTTTGAAATCGGATTTTTTTTAAGTTAAATGGGTTGGCGGGTTCACCCGGAACCCGCCGGGTCAACCCGAACCCCTGTTTTTTAAACGGGTCGATTTCTGGAACCCGAACCCGACCCGTTTTGAAATCGGATGGGTTCAACCCGAATTTTTCGGGTCGGATTTTCGTGTCGTATCAAATATTGACACCCCTGCTATTGATCTTTTGAAATAGAATAACAAAAGCAAACACTTGGAACAAAGAAATCACGTAAGCCTCACATGTTTCAATCCCATTGGGCCCTTATAAAAACCTATTTTTTATTCCAACAAAGCAATGAAAATACCCTACAAAAGTAATCTACTTTGTGAGAACCACAACCATCATGGATCCAACTTTTCTTGATAAAGATGGGAGGTTTAGGTTTCCCTCACTAAACAACAAGGATTAGTGACTGATTATCCAATATGTTAAGCTAGCTTAAAGTGTCTTTAAACAATCACAAAGGGACATCAATAGGTTAATTAAGCCATTGGATTTTAAGGAAATTTTATTAAAATGTTCTTTTATTATAATATGAGATCATTGACTTCCAACTTGGAATCCTCTATATTGTTAGAAACCTTTATCTACACTACTAATCATTAGTGGAAAGAAGATTAATCTTTTTCATGCATTCTCTATCCCAACTAAGGTTATAAATGAGTCGAGCCGAGCTTGCGTTGTCCTAATTTGAGCTTGGGCTTGACTAATTAATCGAGTTTTAGCTGGCTCGAACTTAATTTTAATATTTTTAGGAGTCTATCATGAGCTAACGAGTCGAGTCGAGGTTGGCCTAAACTTAACTTATGAGTCGCTTGATTGACTTACACGCCTCTTCTCAATAGTGCAAGATCTAAGCTCCTCTATATAAAAATATATTTCCAACATTCACATGTGCATTATAAGACTGATCATGTCTCCTTTTACATATAATGGGCCACTTTATAAGATATTAAAAGAATTAGAGCACTTACAACTACCACAATAAGCACATAGATAATAGTCCACTTTTAATTTCTGATTTTTTTCTTCTTTCTCTTCTTAACCACTATTAGCTAACATCAACATCCCCTTGCAATTATCATTTATTTACTATAGGTTGAGATTATATACAATTTTCTCTGATTTTTTTTCTTTTATCTATAATTATGTTATAATTATATATTATCATTAATTCAATTTACATAGGAGGGATTAGAAGTTGTGATTAAGTACTCTTATGTTGTGATTTAATGGTGTTGAGTCATGGTTGCCTCTATCTAAATCAATTTCTTTGTCTAAATATTCTTATTTCATTTTTCTAATGACGTGATATAAATCTGAGACATCAATTATTGAAAATATAAGACACGAATATGGCTTTGAATGAATTGAGATAATGTTGGAGGTCGTCATCAAAACTTATATGAACAGTATTAGACTCATGTCTGTATCTAAAACATGGCAAATATTATATATCTCCTTAACAAGAAGTATCGGTGTATTATAGACTTTATCGTGGTAAAGTTATTTGTTATTTCTTTGCTGATAAGCATGGTTATTAACAATAGATTGGGCTGCAAAGAAAAGAGATCAGTGCCAAGTTATTTTTTATTAACATTTTCATTTTTCTTTAATTAGTTTTAAAATTGAATAAAGCTATATATATTTTTTATTAATGACTTGAATGTAACAGAATTTTTCATATCGATAAAGGTTAAAATGTTGAGATAGATTATGAATATAAATAAAACAAATTATTGGATTACAACATTTCAATTATTTGATTGCGAACTTATTAAAAAAGCATACAGATTACATAATTGGTGATACATTATCAAAAAATTATCTTGATCGGGCAAGAATATTGAGGCAAAAATTAAGTTGGAAATTTCAAAAAATAAATCTGGAATCATCTGAACTCTAATTTCAGCAAACTTACAGTCGAACTGATTGTCTTGGAAGTATGAACCCAACGACACCAAATTCATCTCGATCCTAGCCCAAATGTGTCCATCTCGAAGACCCAAAGCACATTCGGAAGGTTCAATCCATAATTTGAATTACCAAACAGTTTCCAAATATGACGTGCTTATAATCGAATCGAGCGGCTCGATGAGACGATCCTACGAGCCCAAGATTGCCGAATTCTGATATCATTAAGATCTTCAAATGTCTGACAAACGATACACGAATAAGGGATTCAATATTGGCCGTCCATCCTACCACTCCCCATTTACCCCTGTTTTCTCACCTATTTACGAGCCATGCCACTCCATAAATTTATAAATATCCCCTCATTTCTCTTGAGAGGGGAGCCAAGCAAGAAAAAAAGAAGAATGAGAGAAGAAGAGAAGGATAGAAAGGAAGAAATTCCTCATCGATCACAGTCGGAATTCTGCCCGAATCTCAACTAACGCCAGAATTCGGCCCGACGCCCAAGTGACACCAAAATTCTGTTGGACAACCAAGTGATGCCGGAACTCTGCTTAACATTCTAGTGACGCAGGAATTCTGTCTGACTTTCCAATGACGCCGCAGTTCTGTTCGATCTCCAAGTAACTCTGGAGTTTTTCCTGAGCACCATAACTCTAGCTACCAACTTAATTCGGACTTCTACCCGACGACGGACCTTCGCTCGTCGCCAGATTTCTACCCGACACCGTCCTTCCGACCTCCGTTGCCCGCTGACTATGGTCCTTCCAGCTTATGTCACCCACCGACTACGATTCTTCTGGCTTACATCGTACATCGACTACAGTTCTTCCAACCAAACAAACACATCAATAGTTATTCTTAGTATTCCCACCATGTAATGTACTCTATAATATGTACATCAAGCTAAGGTCTTCCCCCTAAGGAAGAGTCTCAATTGTAATCGACTGCAAACAATAGTGGATTCATTCAAAATGCGCTAGGCCCCGTGATTTTTCACCTTTTTAGGGGTTTTCCATGTAAAAATATTAGTGTCGCTTATAAATATTTCACCCTCTCTATTTATCTTTATTCGTGCAGGATCTTCGTATAATGCTAAGATGCTAAATTTTATATTTCTTTACCGTCACGAATACTCCAGGAGGCAACAATTGGGAATTTTAGAAATGCTCTATATTTATTTAATTGCGTCCCTCAAATTTAACTAAGATTGGTGAGACGATCCAAAAAATTTTCTTACAATAATAATAATAATAATAATAAGTGAACAATAACGAAATAAAAAGAAAGTATATCGTAATTTTAGGTTAAATTACCATTTTTTTAAAGTATTTTTAACAATTAATTTATTGTAATATTGAGAGCTTCAAAATCAGCGATTAACTTGAAAATTTATTTAAATGAAAAAAAAAACGATATTTTTATCTTCGAAAAGATTTTTATTTAGAGATTGGAGAGAAATTAGCATTTCTAAATGTATTTCAAGCAGGATAATATTGCTAGCACTCAGCAATGTCAAATTATTACATATAAAAAGGGTTAACCAGCAAACAAATTATTTAATAAAAAATTATTGCCTTGTCCACCAATTTAGTGGTGGAGCACTGCAGCTGTACCATATCTGCAGAGTGCGACAGAACAAGGGAACATCATAGTGGGCTTTGATGCTCTCCAGCTCCAGAAAAATTAGGAGGTAAAATGAACAGGGGAGGCAAAATGAAGATAACAGTAGAATATTATACTATCACAAAGTGTTGTGTCTGCGAGGAGTCTGTATCGATTCACCTCGAAGACAATTATTGTAGATATTCATACATCATTACATCAAATAAGATCAAACAGCAGATCGATCAAATTCACAAAACACCAGAGTTTCATTGTAGCACAGTAGCAGAGTTTCATTCAGCTCCAAACCCACCAGTTTTCTTCCCCGGAAGCCTCCACGAACATGCCGCCGGGAAGATAGCTGCAGCCATCGTCGCTGCTGCCGGCATCCTCCTCGGAGCAAATTCCTCCTTCGATCGCGCCTAGGTAGCAGCCAGCGTTGCCTTCGATCAAGCTCTCTTGGAAGTAAGAATCGCCGCTACTGTCTACCTGGAGAGCTGCGGCGCCTTCGGTATCTTCAATTGCGTTTCCTTTGCTCTTATAACTCAGCCGGTCATCCCCTGATCTCTGCTGCGTCGGAGCTGCGGCTAGCGGAGACGAGAGTTGTTCCTCCTCAGTCAATAATGTCGCTTTCTGGTGGTCATCATCTCCCTTCAGCCCCCCGACCGCCAGCTCCTTCTGGAGCATCTCTGTCAAAGACACCACCTGCCATTGCCAAAGACTGGACTTTTATTTTTAACTCATCTAACATTGCATTTGTCATGTAAGCTTGAATTGGACTGAAAAACATTGAAGCAAGTGAATGATACATCAATAATTATCAAAATGCAATTATTAAATTGAATTTAATTATAAATTTTTATGTTTATATTCACTGAAATTCTGCACATGCATGGGATAAATTTTAGTATCAGATTATCCTAATTAAAAATTGGTAAGAACATCCTAATGCGATTTTTTCCTTCCCTGGCCCAAGAGAATAACTTTACAGACGTCTTGAAAATATGACATTGGATCTTGAAATTTAAAGGGTATATTTCCTACATGTTTTGGAATAATTTGATTAATCTAATCAATTAATTTATAAATCGATTAAAAATCTAATTTTTAAATGCTATGATTTCATCCACACACACAACATAAGAAAATCATCAAATTTTAAATATATTCATTTTGTAAATTATACAAATGATTTTTTAAAGCTTCAATATCTTCATTTTGGTTTGGTCTCCATTGAAAACGATGTAAAACATTAATGTTTTTGGCGGCCTGTATGAACAGTATCAACTAAAGCTTATAAACATTTTTGAGTTTTAGTAAAACTTTGGGTGAACCTCAACTGTTGCGACAAGAACTTACATATGTACAACAAAATTTTACTATAACTTTTAAACAGTCCCGAAATTTCTAATAATTCTGTAACAAAAATCCACTAAATTTTATGTATTTTATAACTTGAGATTTAATTAACTTTATTATTTTTTTTATATCTAAAACTTAAGTTTATAATACAAAAAAACAAGAAATTACAACCAAAATTGGATAACGAAATTATCAGAACTTAAAATTTTATGATAGATGAAAATCGAAATTGAGTTTGGAAATTTTACTCAAAAAAGCAATTTTTATGAATCTTCAAGGAGTTTCACAAGATTTTGAGGCTTTATATGAACATAAAAGAAAAAACAAAAGCTGTTTTTGTTTCCAACAGATAGTAAAACATAACAATAAAAATGCTATGCTGCCACAATATTCGAAGCGGATACCCAAAAAGATGCTTATTCAGTGGGAATTGACGACGGAGGTGGAGCGGTGAGGTCACCGGTTAGGGAAAGGGACCGTACCTGCGAGCGGAGGCGGTCGTTATCTTTGAGAAGGGAATCGTGGTCAGCGAGCAGAGCGTCGTAGGAGGATTTGAGCCGATCAAAGTCGCGCTCGAGCTGCTTTGTCTTCCATCGTGCCCGGCGGTTCTGGAACCATACCGCCACCTGCCGGGGTTGCAGGCCCAGCTTCTTCGCCAGGTCGCTCTTCCTCTCCGGCTCCAGCTTGTTCTCTGTTTCAAAGCTTCTTTCAAGCAGTTGTACCTTTTCAATTACCAGTCGCCAGAGCCATTAACAAATTGCTTTGCTTTTGGTCGATAAAGAAAAATCACTTACCACTTATTCAGCAAATACTAAAAAAACCAGAAAGTAATGAATTTCTATAATAAATTACAAAAAAGTCAACACACAATGGATCAAAAGAAAAGAAACCAGAAAGAACCATCAAGTGGGACATTAAATTAATCCATAAATAGACAAATCTCGGTCATTGGTTAAGCCCGATCGGGCGGAGATGAGCGGCGGATTACCTGCTCTGTGGTAAGGCGGCGCTTCTTCTCCGATTGCTGCTCGTCGTAGTACTCTTCTTCCAGGAGCTCATCTGCAGTAGTGAAAAAGGGACGCCGCTTGTTCGCGCCATCATCGAATCCAAGAACAGATCTCCCTCCTTCATTATTCCCAAATCCAAATCCACTGTAATTCCTCCAAAACTAAAATCCAAAAAACAAAAATCGCACGAGGAAATGGATACCTCGGAAGATTTGGCTGCCAGAGCCACCGAGAAAGAACATGTGTCCAGCGTGGGAAGAAGACGAATCGAAAATTAGATGGCGGGAATCCATGGTTATGACTCAGATCGGAGCGACTGTCACAAAGATCTCCTCTCCCACCTTCTACTGATACAGAAGTTTATCTTGCTAGAATATATTAGCTCTAGATACTATGATCTCTTTCCTAGAAGACGACGATGGTCTTGTGGCGAAAGAAGCTGGTACTCCACAGCAATCGTGCCGACGTTTTCATCGGAAACAAGGAAAACCCCATCATGCACTGGATCTCGATTTGGGAACGTCTAGCCTCGGTTACCGTCAGCGGCCGCAGCGGGAATCGGTAACAGAGCTCCCGCGAGCTAAAACCTAGAAAAGACCAAACAGATCACCGTAATCTTCAATTCAGACTCCGACGCCAAGGGTTCCGATTCTCTCCGCCGTCGCTGTCGCCTTGCTCGTTCTTTGGTCCCTGTTGTCTTTGCGGCTAAACTTCCATTAGCTGTCTTTGGAGGCGTTATATAGAAGCAGAAAATTGACATATAATACCTGAGACGTCTCTGCCTAATGGACAATGGATCTGAGCCGTTGATTACTAAACGCTGCGCGGATAATCGTGATTTGTAGAATAAAGATTATCCTGAAATTGATGGAACATCAGGGGATAAGGTCGGTATGTTTCTTACAGTAAGATATATTACTAAAACCCCCTTTCTAAATTAAATATAGCAAAAAAAACTGGCTAATTTTCATTTAATATTGGAAATTATTTTTATTTAACTTCTTGTTGACCTAAAAATAATTCGAGATCCTATCAGATCAAATTGAGCCAGAAGGAGGCACAAGTGAATCTATATTAAAATAAATGAATAAAATCAAGTTGAGAGAAAGAGACTGGTTAGCAAGAGGGGGAAAAAATACTACAATAGGGATGGTAGATAGCTATAGTCTTCATTGGACAAAAGCTTTTGATCAAACATTTTCTTGTAGGGTTGAGATTTTACTTAGAAATTTTAATAAGAGGAGCTTGATTTTACTCATTTGCTAATTTTTTGTTACCGCTGACTTGATCATCATTTTCTACTTGAGAGTAATATCAACAGGAGCGTATCATTGTTGTAGAATTGTATGAATATACTGTAATTTAGAAAATTTTTGGTGTTAAGTTGAGCCAGTTGTATGGGATGATAAGGTGTGATGGTGTTGTATTGTTACTCCATTCGACTTAATTATAACCATCAAGTTGGTAGTAAGATGATAAGGTTGTAAACTTATCCCTATACAATTGTGGCATGTAGAATCACATTTGCAGGACAAAGTAATTTCTACAATAGAGTATCATATATGATCTAGAATTTAGCTGGGCAAGAAGAGCTGTGTAGAAAGATGAATTGTTTGTACGTGCATATTGATACACATGTTATCAAAGATATAAATCAAGCCCTATGAAATATTCATCTTATGGAAATTGCATGTGTCATCATCAAGCACTGAAAATGGAATAAGCATCCTTTGGATATCAACTCTTTAAGTTAGGATTTTAGAGTTAAAACACTAGATTCTTTTACTTCTTCACAATGCCTTTTTTGCTTTTCTTTTAGGGTATTGATTGTTAAGAAGATAGAGATAGACACTTGATATTGAAGTTGACAAGGTGCTAATGCATAAGAATGGTAAGCAAGAATTTTGAGAAGGCATAGTTTATATTGGAAAGTTAGCACACATAATTTCTCACTATTTTCTTGATTAAATATCCAACATACGTAGTACATCACTTAGGTGATTTCTATTTTTAATAACTCATGAGCCTCCTCATAGATAAATTTTTCTAGCAAGAATATTATATAGAATTTTCTTTACTTGACTTATATGGACCCTTCATGCATATTCAGATTTTTGAAGGGCATGTAAGCATTTAAGCATAACTTTTCAAACTCAAATTAGATTAGCACATTGAAATTCACTCTTAAATTTGTTAAGAAATATTACAATGAACATCCCATATATCTAAGCATTATTCTTAATCATTCCAATTTTATCAAGTGTATCAAAGAGAATTTCTTGATTTAAGAGACTTTAAATGCCAAATATATTTAAAGAAGGAGATGCCACTTTTATTTGATAGACTGGAATACATGAGCGTAATACTAAATCTTCACCACCTTTCTCTCGTACTCACCCTAATGTTAGGGGAAATCATATAAAAACTAAAATCTATTTATTTGAATTATTTAGATGAAAGAGAGGATAATGATGAGTTTAAATCGCTTGATTAGAAGATTTAGAATATATTAATTGTTGCGTGCTAGAACATTCACGACATAAGGGAGATAAAGAGCTTAACATCGTATGAAAATTCAACACACACATAGATATGAGAGAGGGTGCAAAAATCATAAGAGATATTCAAATTTTTATGTGAAAACCAAGGAAACAGGAAAATTGGCTCAGGGGAGGGCATTGGCTCAATGTAGCAAATATAAATTGTATAAAGCAAATTACATTATTGGAGTTAAAAGAATCCAATGACATAAGAGATGTTCTCAAGAGAACGTGGGTATGCTCGTTTGGTCAATATGGTTGTAGTTGAGCGATAAAGGTCAGAGACTATAGTGAGAACATCAATGAATAAAGCGAAAAAGATACGGGCTTAAGTAAGAGGATAATTGATTAAAATCATATCAAATTGTTCAGAATAATCAATCTATAACATATAATAAAATCATATCAAATTATCCTCTTAACCGATGAAAATATAATAAAATCATATCAAATTGTTCAGAATAATCAATCTATAACATACAAATTTATCTCTTAGCAGGTGAAAATATAATAAAATCATATCAAATTGTTCCGAATAATCAATCTATAACATATAAAAAATTATGGGTTGAAAGCCAATGAAATTAAGAGATGATACATTTTTGACAAATTTAGAAGAGATAAATATGTAAAAATCTAAAATTTTAAAAATAGAAGTAAGAGGATAGCTAATTATAATAATCAGAATACTTTTTACAATAGAAGTGATAGATGAAAATGACCAAAAAATACCTTTCTCTCTCCTTTGTCTCTCCTCTTCCTTTCCCTTCTCCCTTTCTTCCCAAGCAAGTCACAATCTAAATGGGGAGGTGGCGATGCTGGAATTCTATAATGCTTAGTTATAGAATAAAAAATATATATAAATAATGTTAGTGGGATAACTCCACAATGCTCAGACCCATCACCACTATATTATATATCAAGTCAAAAATTACTATAGAACAGAGACTAAACTACTGCAACAATATTTTCTAGCGTTATTGTACTCTAAAACCTAGCATTATAATACTCACAAGTATAAAGCTAGAGCACTCCAATTCAAATATAAAGTTCAAAAAATTATATTTTACAATACTTTCCATTTTTGAGTTATTATATGTAATCAGCGGGCAACTATGGTTGGAAAGATCTTAGTTATTTGACGATGGTGGTTGGAGGGACCGTAGTCGTGTGACTAAGGTCAAAGGGATTGTAGTTTGTGGGCGAGAAAGGTTGGAAGGATTGTAGTTGTCGAGCAATGAAGATCAAAGGGACTGAATTGAGAAACAGTTGTTCAAGGGTTGTAGTCAAAAGGATCGTAGTTTGATGATGATGGTTGAAGAAACTATAATAGGGCAATTACAATCAAAAGACTATATTCGGACGACTAAGGTTGAAGAACCATAGTAGAGCGACGTAAGTTTGAGGTACTGTAGTTGGGTGACTAAGGTCGTAAGGATTATGGTTAGCGGGTGATAGAGGTCAGAGGGAATATAGTCAGGTGACAATAGTCATAGGGACTACAGTTGGGTAAAGGTCGAAGGGATCTTAGTCGATGAACGATAGAGGTCAGAGGGATCGTAGTTGACATGCGATAGAGGAAAGAATGACTGTAGTCTAACAATTGAGGTCAAAGGGATCATAGTAAGGAGACAATGATATAAGAACCATAGTCAAGTGATGTAGGTTGGAGGAATCGTAATTTGATGACTGAGGTCTGAAGCACTGTAGTTGGTAGGTGATGGAGGTCAAAGGGATCGTATTCGGGCAATGATGGTCAGAGGGACCATAGTATGACAACGAAGATCAGAGGGACATTAATCAGTTGGTTAGCGAGAGGTCAGAAGGATCATAGTTAGACGATTGTAGTCGTAGAGCACATAGTTGGGAGATAGTGATCTAATAACCGTAGTCGTGTGATAGCAGTCGAAGGGACCTTAGTTGGGCTATGGAGATCAGAGGGACTATAATAAGGCTATTAGGTCGGAGGGACCATAGCTGGGTGACGAAGGTTGGACGGCTCACAGTCGGGCGACTAAGGTCAGAAGGATGGTAGTTTGTGGGTGATGAAGGTTAAAGGGATTGTAGTTAGGCAACGGTGGTTGGAGGGACAATATTCTAGTGATGTATGTTAGAAGGATCGTAGTCGGTGGGTGATAGAGGCAGGATGGACTGTAGTCAGGTGACTTAGTTCGGAGGAACTATAGTAAGGCAATGGAGGTTTGAGGGATCGTAGTCGGGTTAAAGAGCTCGAAAGGATCATAGTCGGAGGATGGTGGGGGTCAGGCGTCTGTAGTCGAGTAATGGAGGTTGTAGAGGAAATAGTCGTTAGACGATATAGGTCGGTGCGAAGACTCGATGGTGGTGGTCGGACGGAGGCTTGATGACGATGGTTAGGCAGAGGTTCGACGATGGCGAAAGCTGGTTGGACATCTGGTAATGATCGGCTGGTTAAAGTTTGGTGGCGGCGGTCGTTCAATTTAATTATAAGTTTGTTGACATCAGAGTTTGGTTGGTCCGTAGTTTAATTTTAAAATTTTCCAATTCAAAATTTTCCTTGAGATTCATGCCTGATCAAGTTAATTTTTGGTGTTGTATCATTAATTTTTAAATTAGTTCAAACACACTAATTAGTCTGATTTTCCCTAGAAATTTTATTAGAAATTTATTTCTTAATTGTACAGAGAATATATCTTTTTTAATTTGATAATTTTAAAATTTTATTTTGTTTTAAAAAAAAAATGTTTATGATTATTTTATTTATGAATAGTAAACATAATAAAGTTGATTATGAATGAATGAAATGTAAATTCATTACCTTTAAAGTACTTCTAATTTGCTCAACTATATTTCTAATAAATGTGCCAAGAAATAAAAAAAGGAGACAAAGGGTCATCATGGATAAGAAATAAAGGTTAACAAGATTAATGTTATCTAGTCTGTTATCTTTTATTGTGTTTCTTTTTTCCTGAAATTTCTTAAACATCATTAATTCCTTAGAATAATCATCCTAACACACCTTGACCAGAACATATATATAGTGAGAAGGTTACAATTATGATAGCAAATGTCATATGTTTGCTTGTTCTGCTTGAAGATATTGCACATCATTCTTCAAATCTACTTAATATTATAAGTATCAAGGTCATTAATATTACAAATTATATTAGAATAGCTATGCCGCCCTTCTACTTTTGATTG